AAGCCTAGGGGAAGACATTCTGGGGAGGAGGGATGCACTGAGAGCCTGTGCCTGACCCCCATCCTGCGCCTCTCCAGGACTCCATCAAAAAGTTTGAGCGAGACATGATGTTGCAGAGGCACATGACACTCATGGAAGAGAAGCAGGTGATCCTGAAGCGGCAGCAGGAGGACGTCAGCAGGTTGATGCAGACACAGGTAGGTAATCCCACAGGCAGCCAGTAGACAGAGTGGTGGACGGGGACTGAAGGTATGGCCAGGAAGAGGGGCCTCCCTGCTTCTGTGTGGAGCGTAGAGGTCTCAGGCATCCTGGCTTTAGATAAAGCAGGTATTTCCCTCTCTATGAGGGGTCTTCAGAAAGTTTAGGGAAGGGGCCAGCCGATGGTGTCACGATTACATCATTGGACTTCCACATGGTCGACCACAGTTCAAGTCCTGGACATGGTGGCTTGAAACTCACTCAGGGCGCATGTGGATGCATGCCTAAGATCCTGGGAGGAGAAAGGAGGAGAGGGGATTGTGGTGTGGCCATCCCCTCCAGAGGGTGATTTCTCTCTTTCACTCTCACTGTCTCTGTCTCCCTCCCTCTCTGGCAAGCACATGCACCCTAAGGCAAAAACCTCTTTTAAAAAGTTTATGGAAAATGAATATTATGACAAAACTATACATGGACTAACATTTTTTTTGCATCAAGATAAATTTGTCCTGGGGGCTGGATGGAGGTACAGCAGGAAAATGGGATGCTCTGTGAGGTTTCACCATGTGGGAAGGTTCTGAGCTTGGATCAGAAGCCCTCCCTGAACACATGAGACATGTGTGTGCCCATGATCCAGGCTGGCTGAAGCTGGGGGCGGATTGTGGCATCAAGACCTTGTTGGGAGTGCTCTCTGCTTGTTTCTTTGTCTTGCTCACTCGTAGAAGAAATAAAGAAATAGACTTTTAAAGACTTGTAGTGTAATTCCATTTTTGCATGAGGTTTTTGAAGTGCCTGTGTGTTTTCCAGAACCAGGCTTTACTCTGCACTGTGATGGTTTCTGGATGTCTTGGAGTATTGAATGCCATGACTATAATGTCTCTTTTTTGGGGGTTGAAATGCTACTGCTGGGCTGTTAGGGACCACAAGCTTCTTACTGTGGGCTTTTAAGGGGCCAAGCAGCCATGACCCAGTCCACTCAGTGGAGGAGGGGGTTCCCTGCCATTTCTAAGCCCAGATCAAGAATGAGCACAATGGGCTGGAAATGCGGGGTCAGGCATGCTACATCTGTGAGGCTCAGGGGGCGAGGCCTCTCTTTGTCAACCTAGTGCTTGGAGCATCCCAGGCTGAGCCTTGGGTGCTCTGCTGGGTCCTCGTCATTTGGTTGTGCTATCCCCTTTGGCCTGTCCTTGGAGTGACAACGTCTGCCTATCTTGACTATGCCCAAGGTCTGCCCAGGGTCAGAGGAGGACACCCTGAGCCATCTCAGACTCTCCCTGTCCTCATGCCAGCATTGGTGGCTTGCCAGTGTCTCTCGTCCAGGCAGACAGGCTCGAGGGGTCAGGGTGAATTTGGGACTAAGCTCAAGACTCATCCTAGGGCCAGGGTCAGACCCTTGCCTGGGGCCCATTGTGGAGGGTCCTGGGTCTCGGTGCAGCTCTGCCATCACCTCCTCCTCATCATCGCTCTCTCATTATGCTTCCTTCTCTCTCTCTCTCTCTTTTTTAGGTTTTGCATATTTATTCAGAAGGTGATTTGTCTACAGAATAAAGCCCTGTAAGCATGAAGAAATACAATGTTTTGAAGTCTTTTTCTCAGCCATTTTGTTTATTATAGTTTGTATAATCCTGAAGAGATTCTCTTATCTGGTATTTCCCATGATGTTTGATGTGATCAGTAATAAAGGTTGCAATGAAGTAGTAGCTACGATCATAACCCTCTCGTAATCTGAAAGCAACAGGGATTTTCTTTTCTTTTTTTGGAGAGGTTTTTGCTATAGGGCGCGTGTGCTCGCCAGAAAGACAGAGAGAGACAGAGAGACAGGAAGCGAGAAATCACCCCCCCCCAGGGGGATGGCCATGCCGCAATCCCTTCTCTTCCATTCTCCTCTTGGGATCTTGGGCATGCACACACACGCACCTGGCATGAGTTTAAGCTACCGGGTCCGGGACTCAAACTGCGGTCTGCTATGTGGGAGTTCAGCGACATAGCCATTATGCTAACTGCTGGTCCCAGGGATTTTCTTTTCAGTACAGGCAGCTGTAAAGTGACCAGGCAGTAACTGTCCATCTGAAAGAAACTGGTCATCTTTTCCTTGGTCAATTAATATGTCCAGCCAAGAACCCAGGTAGGACTTCACAAGATGGGAAGCCTCATAGACCTTCCATTTACTTTGATCTATGCCCAAGTATCCACTGAAAGCTTTTTTGCCCCAAGAACAGAGCACTGGGTTGCAAATTGGAGCAAATGCTGACACGTAAGAGTTCCGTAAGAATACGTTCTATAGTTAGTTTTCTAAGGTCTTCAGTGGCACCCACATAAAACCCAGCACTGGTGCCGAAGTCCCGGCTGTTCTCTTCTCCTTTAATATTACAGCCAGAAGGGCTGGTATCAGAGCAGTGATAAGACCATGTTCTGAGGCTGCTGGATGATAACCAGATTTCGATATAAAATTTAGTTCTGTGCAAGTGGAACCAAACAGCCAGCATAGCGCAGGGCACTTTCCAGCTTCTGCCTTCGGTGGTAAGTAAATAGCAGGTTTCGTTTTTGCACTTCAGTTCAACACTGTCATGTTCAAAACCTTTCTAGAATCTTCCACAGCACTTGTCGATGGAAATCTGTTCCAAAGCCATTCTTCTCCTCAGATAGCCACAGCAGTTAGAGCAGACCACTCGTTCTGCTTCCTTCTCTAGAAAAACGTTGACTACAAGGATTTCAGCGAGCTGGTGGAGAACTTCAAGAAGACCCTGCGGCACACAGACCCCATGGTCTTGGACGACTTTGGCACTAGCCTACCCTTCATCGATGTCTACCTGTCCACTCTGGACAACCAGGACACCACGGTGTACAAGTCAGTCCCAGCTCCGGCCCATCCTGAATCCCGGGCCTTCTCTAGATCAAGGCTGTGCCGACGTCCCAGCAGCGGGTGGGGGATGACAGGACCTGCAGGGTGGGTGGGTGGACCAAGGTCTTTCCTGGGTGACAAGATTTCATGTATGCCCAGGGGCTGGCTGCTGTGTGGACAGGCCTGTGGCTGGGAGGTGCCTCCTTCCCCAGCCCCTCCCAGCATCCTTTAACCTGTGTTTAGGTGCCAGTTCCTTCGACTCGCCAGGCCCCTCCGTACCAACCCCCTTTCAGAGGGCAGAGAGAAGAGCACAGTGGGAGGTCAGGAGCTAAGGCTCCTGGCCTGCTCTGCCACTGCCTTCCTATGTGACCTTGGGGAGTCTCTGCCCTTCTCACATGGGTCACGCGAGGGGCTGCCGGGCTGCCGAGACGCAGAGCAGTGCACGTAGAGCTCTGAGCTCAGCCAGGTGCAGGGCTGTGCTCACGTCATGAACTGGGATTATGACTGGGCCCATTACTGAGCAGGGGATGTAAAAACCCCATGGAGAAGCCCTGGGCAGTAGGGAGCCATGGTGGACTCTTGAGCAAGGATTAGCCTACCTTCTCAAGGGAAGCACTTTAGAAGGCTTCAGGGCCTAGAGAAACTAAAAAGGAGGGGTCAGAGAATGGCCACTTTTGGCCAGGAGTGGCCACACGCGGTCTGGTACTCAGCATGGCCCCCTCTCTCAGAGCCCAGGGGTGATCTCCGGGGAGCTACAGGCAGAGTGGACTCAGCTTCCAGCCCAGCCTGATGTGGCTCTGAGGTCCTGGCTCTTTCCTGCCAGGCATGGTGACTGTGCCGGGATAGTGTAGTGGGTGGGGCCAGGGAGATATGGGGGCCCTGACCTCAGCAGCCCTGCCCTTCTGCTCCACTTTCAGGCTTCAGGAGCTGTACTATGAGATCGTGCACGTGCTGGGCCTGATGCTCGAGGACATGCCCGAGGCTGAGCCCTTGGAACAGGACGATGAGCAGTAGTCGGCGCGGGCCGCCTGACACTAGGGCCTCCTTGACGGTGGCACGTCCCCATTAAACAGGCTTTCTCAGCAGGCCTCGAGATGCTGTGATCGTGGGGTTCCCCCAGCTTTTGGGGTGGATGAATAGGTGCCTCTGAATTCCCCATACCCCCTACCTACTCAACAGGGCCCTGCAGACCTAGTGAGTGGGGAGACAGAGGTTCCAGACTGTCCCTGGGCAGGCCACATCCAGAGCCCCACTGGCTATAGTCTCCCTGGACCCAGCGGCTAGGACCCAGCAAGGGCCTCTGGGGAAGCTGTCTGACAATCCAGACCAAGAAGGGCCTCCAGGCACTCCAGACACATGGGTAGCCCAGTAAGCTGGAGTGGCCCTGCTGGCTGGGGACCTCAGGCTGATCTGGGTGGGCATCCCATGCCTGACAAGGATATACTCTGTCTGTAGATGCCCCTTCTTCGGAAGTCTGTTTTGATGTCCCGCGGGCTCTCCCCAAGGGGTGCTGCGTGACTGCCACATGACTGTGGCCCTGGAGCTCAGTTGAGGGCGGCCTACTGCCAGTGTCCGGGCACCTTGATCCAGGGCCCAGAGGAGTGGCAGCATCAGGGACTTTGGGCTGCTTCCCTTCTATGGTCAGCTCAGACTCTTCACTTCAAAGGTGGCATTTTCTGTGTCATCCCTGGCCAAATGACCCCAGTCCTGGCACTACACTGGGTCAGCCATGATGGAAGACAGGGCAGCTAGCACCCCTTTCTCCAGACTGGGCAATCCAGAGGCCCAGCAGCACTCACTCTGCTCCCACTACTGGGGAGTGCAGTGTGCTCACAGCCTGGCACCCTGGCAGTGCCACCTCAGATGGGGGAGGTGGGCTCTAGGAGAGTTGGAGTGGGGACTGGCACTAGCAGGTGGTACAGAAAGGCCCCAGACCTGCAGTGGGGAGTCAGGTC